GAATCGTATTCGAATATTCGGATTATTCGAAACTAATATTAACCGATTCCGGTACTCTTTTGAGTAGTCCCAGCACTATCTGTAGTGTTAATGATTTCTTTAAAAAATTGTTTAGTTTTGCGCCTGTGTTTTTTTGCTAGATCATTTATTAATTTAAGTTAAATATTGTGTGATTTGCCATTTAATATGATGGAAAGTCATCAACATCTACATAATTATCAGTGACAAGACTATAATGAAAATAACGGTCTTGAATGTCTTTATTGGTAAGTTCTGATGAGGATGCCATAGAATTATTCGATGAATCAAAATTAAAAGACTGCACGATTTCCAAATCAATGGATTTCATACTCAAAAAATTTCAGATTTACCTGAACGTTTCTGTCAGCCGTGAAAAGTACCCTTGAAGTCTTCCACCGTTACTCCTAAATTTTTGGAAAAAATTTCAATTCTGTTTTGTGATTTGGGGTTGGAACGATCATCGAATTGCGGCTCATACACAAAACATACACAAAGAGAGCAACCAGCTGAACGATACAGTGTGCAATGTACTGACCAAGACGAAACCTCAGTGAACAACACTAAGGACAAACTGGCAAACCACCACCAAGAGTGAACATAGATAGATACACAGAGGCAACGATGCCGGCGCAAAAGAAAGAGAAGTAGTGAATAATTTCGCCAGATGTCATTCTGCCCGTTTTCTCAGGTTTTGCAGTCACGATACTCATTTTGTTCCAGTACCTCTTTAACGATTTTTCTTGCTGGTATTCCACATTTTTGACTTCGCATAACGTCCACGTGGTAAATCCATTGTATTCTAATCATGCGTCTATAGCATCATATCTCATATTATTATGATTGTCACATGTAAGTATTGAGAAAATATTCCATGGTAGAAACTGATTGGGATGTTGCATGATTCTCATGTGATTGAAAGCTGTTCTGCTCTTCTCTATCCGCATTTTAATTTATTTTATCTGTTTTCATTTGTTGTCAAGAAAAGTGCACAGGTAGTTTATGGATGTAGCCGTTTGCTGTCGGGAGCCGTTTGCATGAAACTGACCATCATTATCTTGTTTGCTTACTATTATAACCTTTGTTTTATTTCTGTGCACGCTGTGGGTTTAGCATACTTCTGTTACTTTACATTTGGAGACCCTTAGCTGCATCTAAAATTAAACTGTGATATCTGCGTACCTTAGATTATTATTTCCAGCTATTAAAATTGATTGACTATAGTCAAATTCTGGAGGGATCAATAAAAAAAATGTTGTAGAAAAAATTACTCAAAAAACGCCTAAGATTTGATTTAAACAAACGCATAAATAATTTTTTGTCATTTCGTACAGCTGTCGTTGTAGAATTAACTTTCTGGACATAATGACGATATTATAAGGGTGGTCTTGTCGGAGAATATATACAGTCATTACTTACGACTGTTTGGGAGCCTATGATTAGGCCAAGATAAAGACACGACTAGACAAATGGACACCGGATCGTCTCAAATTACAAAGCGAGTCCGCTCTCTAATCTACAAGCTGCCGCTAACACCTAGCGATGTAACGGGGCCCTTTAGTTGTGGCCTATGCCTATCAAGCGTTAAAGCTGCATATTTTTTATCTCCCTCATTTTAATTCGCGATGGTTGAACCTTGGGTGAGGCATAAAAACAAGGCTAAATGAAAGAAAGAACTAAAAATTTTCAGTAATTTTTCTTTTTTTAAAAAAGAAACATGGTACATATCGATCAAAATTTTCTAAAAAGCTGCAACAGTGAATAAAAAAAGTAATCAATTTTATTGAAGTTTGTTCTGTTATCCAAAAACCCATGATAGGAAACCATGTATGAGTGACAAAAATCCATACAAACGTGTCTCCTAAATTGCCTTGTGTTCAAAATAAAGAGACTGCTAAAATTAAAAAAAAAAACAAATTGTTTCATTATTATACCTTCGATTTTTTTCAAATTTAATACGCTTCTTTTAAGAAGTTTTTGCGTGAAAAAATGTGCAAAATTTTTAAGAGTAGCAACTGAACATTCTTGAAAAAAGTTTACCGACAAATAAAAATTTTCGAAATTCCCATTCAATAATTAAACTTGATCTCTTACTTTTTTTCACCACATACACCGTTTTCTGCATCGAAATTTTATATTCGTTTTTTAGAATTTAGAATACCCTACATCTCTCAAACCTAGCAATTTGACAGATATTAACGACTTTTTTTTCATTAAAAATTGGTTTTCTAGGCATATTCTAAAAAACATGGCCCGTTTTGTACCTTGTGTTTAATTCTACCAAATCTCAAACATTTAATAGGTTCCGCTTTTCACGAGATTTAAAATATATCAAACAATAACGTCAAAACTGAGAGTGTGATTAGGTACACAAAGTTCCTTGTCAATACTGAATCACTGTTCGGTTCCATTTTTCAAGTTCCATTCCTGTTTAATGATTCCGCTAGCGGAATTCATATTGCTTAATACATTAAAGTCGGTAATTAATATTGGGATCGTAATAAATGCTCGCGCATTAATTATTAGTGTTAGAAGAGATGTTACAGATAGGCAGGCAGTTTTCTAAATTAGTCCGTATGCGCTGCAATCAAAAAGATAATTTAAGATGACAAGCGGAAATAACATCCATAGGTGAAGTTAAACATATGTAGCATGAGGTCGAGATCTCGTATACTTGCGGGAGGGTTATTTATTGGAAGTGAAGTTTTTCGCGTTAACTGGACCTTTTTAATGTTCGGTTTCTATAAAAAGTTTTTAAAAAAGCTAATGCTACCCAACTTTCAATTTTAAGCGTGCACACCTGAAATTTAACGTTCCATATGGAAATTTGTAAAATATGAATGAGGCAAATGGAACTTTAAGCAGTTGCTTGTTATTAATATCAATTATTCACTATTCAAACCACGAAAAACCACCAAAATTCATTATAGGGACAGAACAAAAAATGGTGTTTTTACAGCGGAATTTTATTGCACTTCTAGTAAGAATATTGAGCAAAAAAATCTCAACTGTATTTGGTATTTAGAACAGACTGGCGAATACTTAAATTATATTCAAGTGATTTGTGAATTGGAAGGAAAACCCCACAATATCCAAAACACAGCCTTCATGCAATGGTAATGGGCAAAGATTGACGGAATCAGCCTCTTCCGGCAATGTAATGATCCATCCACAAACAGACCTAGAATTAAGAAGCTTCCGAGGAATAGGATTTAATACAGACCATTATCTAGTCCGAGAGAAAGTGAGAATGAGAATATTAATAACATAAATACCCCAGAACCAAGGCATGGAACATGACATTGAAGAACTGCAAAATGAAACAACGCATGGAGACCGTCTCGAACAAACTTTGAAATGCGTTGAATCTGAGAAGCTGAAAGTAATAACAGAAACGGCTCAGAAGGTTTTTGGAAAGAGTAAGGTAGAGAGGGCAAAAACATGGTTTGACGATGGGTCAAACCGTTCCAAAAGCGATGCAAAAAACAAAAGAGATAATGTTGCAACTCCAGATGGACAAAAGAAAATAAAAATATGTGTTACCAAAAAAAGACAACAAACTTATTAATATGAAACAATAAAAACAGACCGCCCAAAACCGGAATCCAGAGAATTCTACAGAACAATTTCATTTAAGAAGAAATGTTTCAAAGCAGATTCAATTCGACACTTACGAATGACGTAGATCATATGTAATTCTTACATTATGTTAAGGTTTAATTATTAAAACAGTTTATAAACAAGGCATTACCTCTGAAGTACACAGGATACTACGGACGTAGAGGGAAATGCAACCTTCTTAGAAAAGCAGCATTATGTTTTGTGGTCGTAATGTCGCCTTTTCACCTTACTGAAAGCCAAGTTTATGTACGTGTACGTGTTTTCGAGTACTGAGTACTGAGTACTGAGCACACCAAAATAAAATTGAAACAAAACGAAAACTCTCTCGAGCTTCAAGCCGACTGCATTTTGTTTGACTTTTGTTTTTGTTATCCATCCGATTCCAATGATTATTACGGTGAAGCAAAAGCTCAGTTATATATATTTATTTTTAATTTATACTGCTATCGTTTGAAAAAAAGTGAGTTAACTTGAATATTTACAGGCTGCTTTCAAATTCTAGTATCACCATCGCAATCTTGAAAACGCTGAAAATGTATCGACGAGCCTGATAATATTCCTTTGCAAAATTTAAGTTACGCACTCGTCTGGTTTAACACTTTATTTTTTTAATAGTTTATTTCAAAACTGATCCCGTATTGCGTTTCCTTTTGCTTAAACCATCATCAATTTAAATGTTAATTAGGGACGCCAATTTTGGCAATCTTAAATAGCTTTTTTGTCTTTTAAAATGAAGTATTACGAGTTATTTATAAGTGGGCTTTTATTTTTTCGTTAATAAGTCAAATTTTGATTTTATTACGACCCCAGAAACGTATCTGAATATGTATCGCAACAAGTATTTGATTGAAATCTCGCTGAGCACCTGCGCGATAAGAGAAGAAAAATAAAAACCTACATGTCAACGATGCTATGATGCTATGTGAGTTGTCACGTGTATGTTTTATAACAAATCAAATCATTTTTTTGTCATTTTGATAGTACTATCCCAGCTTTCCTTAAGGTTATTTACTCTTATGACTTTTAATTTAATATTTAGGTTTCGTTCAGAATATATTATTATTATTTCCTACATAGCAGAGCATACTTTACCTTAATGGTGTATATTCTAAATATATTTTATTATTAATGCTGCTCTAGCCGTCCAAACCAATTTGTGATTCATGGGCATAAAATAACTCTATAATTTTGCCCAAACTTTTGAACATAAAAATTTTTAAGGCCTTGACTTGGGAGGGTTTAAATCTTAATATACCAGTGCTGATATCATCGCCGAGTTGATATCTCTCACACATTTTTAATGCTTCTTTTCCAATCAAGCAGTGAAAGACAACAAAACAATTTCAAAACAGCTATTTTATTTACATCAACTGTACGGCAGGTTTAAAATAGGTTAAGCCATGTCACGGACATCAAATTTTTCTATACGTACGTACGTGGAAATATATATTGCAAGTTTTCCGTTCTACGGACCAATCAATAAATATTACATTAAATACATTTCGTTTAAATATAATTTACACGTTTTACAGTACATCTCGTTATATTTTACAGTATTTACATTTTATATTTACAGTGCTTTACAATGTTGACCTGAAACGAATATTCCACATTATTTTAAAACTATAAAGAATTGTAAATCAACAAAATTATAAATTTATCCCAATATTATTTCTTGTTAATCTGCGTGTACAGGAAGTTGGACAGATTAAGATGCACAATTTAAAATCATTTTACCCAATGTATACATGGCGGCCCTAAGAAACGTAACGAATGAAACATATATTTTATTAATGGAATACCCTATATTTAAATTTTGTTTTGAAATATTAGCTTTTTCAATATTTCAATTTTTACCATTTTCTCATAACTTTTGAAACTTACGAGAAAATGAACTTTACTGTAGAGTGTGTATACATTTGAACTTTGAACTTGTCTTCACCCATGATGTAGTTTTTGCATCCTCTACGATCAAATCCAAATAAATTTCTGTTTTGCTTTTACCATTTTTTCATAAATTTTGAAACCAATGAAATACTCTATCGTTGACTCACGCTTTACAGTGTGTATAAATTTGAACTTTGATTGACTTTACCCATGATGTAGTTTTTGCACCCTTTACGCCCAAATCCAAATAAGTTTCTCTTTCGACAAAAAATTATAGAAAAAATAGTTATTCTAACCAATACAACAACCAATATAAAAATCGTATAAAGAGTTATTCCTCCGGTATGTAATTAATAAATAAAAAAATGTTTTTCTACTCCCGTCTGTAAAATACCTAATTACACACCGATCTAGTATGCTGGAAGTGTCACTTTACCACGTCACTTTCGTTTCCCACGGATCCGAGCCACTTCGGATATTTCCGGGTTTTACCGCACGGCTTGAATTTTGACATTTGTTAATTCTGACGGTCTGATGTCAGTGAGTGTATTCGTATTGTTTTGCGTATTGTTTTGCGAAAATGTACCGAAAAACTAACGGTCGTAGAAAAAGTATAGTATGCAACACGTTCGGTTATCTTTTGAAATCACTCGTTTATTAAACACTCGCTCCGCTCGAGTAAAATAAACTCATGAGTCAAATGCCGTTTACCGCACTTGTTGCATAATATACTATTGTCGGTAGGATTATTGTCGCAAAAATTGGACTTTAAAATATTTAACAGGACTTAAGTACAAAATGCACTTAGAACTGTATTAATTATTAAATTTATCAAAAAAATATACAGTACCAATCCTAGACGCATTTGGATAAATTACACGTATAAAAACAAAACACTAGCAAAATTTACTTGTCTCCTTCATATCAAATTCGAACACACTGTATGAATTTCTATTTAATATTCATGAAATCCCTTAAATCTCTACAATCAAGTTTACTTCAAAATATTAAATGTGAAGTGTAGAACTATATTTAGATACATGGAATCCATAAATACATTTGGAAAAAATTGTTCATATCGCATCGTGGTTACTAACTATTTCTTGAAGAATTAAAACATTCATTTTTAGTAAAACATCCTCTCTGGAGGATAAAGAGAATAAAGTCAAGAAAGATCAACACCTAACGCTATTTAGTACGTACAAAACATAAAAAAAAACTTAACATTTATTTATCGGAACTAACAACCAAATTTTTCGGACAATCGTCCTCATTTACAACCGGCTTCTTTTTCAAGACGCCCAAATCTTGTACATTTTCCAGGAAGCTTTTTTGGACGGTCAAATACTTTGTACTCTCCACGTCCTTCTTCAGCTCTTCCAGGTCTCTTTTCAGCTTGGCCCGTCGGTTCTGGAACCACGTTATCACTTGGGCATTCGTCAGTCCTAAACTCGCGGCAATTTCATCTCTATCAGCCGGACTGAGATACTTTTGGTAGAGGAATCTTTTCTCCAGCTCGTAGATTTGATGGTTGGTGAACGCGGTCCGGGATTTTCGCTTCTTTTTCGGCTGCTGCCGCGAGTTGAACAGGTTCAGGTGGCTCTGACCATCTGGAAATAGAATGTTGCAGTTAATTTAAATTCTGACAGTTTTCATTAAAAAAAAACAGCACTTTTTTACATAATACATGTTTAGGGAACTTTCTAGAATCAAGAGAACTAAATACATAAAATGACTAAAATTTTATCGCCATCGATTAAACTGACTACAGTTTAGTTTATTTATTGTAGTTTGTGTTCCATGATGGCTATTGTTATATACATAAAATCTAGTTTAAAAGTTTAGTTAGCTATGTTTTAGTGTCAGTGTCAACGTTACCAAAAACATCCCTAATCGTACCATTTATTCATTTCCGTATTTAAGAAATTAATTTCGAATCCCTTAGTCAAAAACCATTTATCTCGTGTGCTCTATTAAATCACATTAATGGGCAAATTTCTCGGAGTTAACCAACCCCTATATGTCAGACCATTAATACGTATTAAGTCAACATATTGTCACCCCCTCGAGATCTGTAAGCCCCTTGTGCAAACACAGCTAATGTATATGGCGAATATTGAGAATGCCAATGAGCGGGCAGTGATTTTATTGCTCCGGTGTTCAATTGTTTTGGTTACGCTTCACTCGTCCGGGAGAATTTATTGGTTTAATTAAGGGAAATTATCGCTGCCGATTCTTCGTATCTGCTAAATGGAATTTTTTTATTAAAAAAAAGCGGAACTGCAATTTATGATGCCTTTGGTGAATGTTTTCCCATGAGGATTTTTCAGCGATGTAATAATGTTTCTAGAGAAGGTAAATCCAAAAGATTTCTGTTGAACTTACAAATGTAACTAGTAGATAAACAAATAAACATATGTTCCAAGATATTTCAAATGGCTTGTCAATAACTTGATGGTTGATTTCCCACTGCTTTACCGGGACACGTTGACCAGTATTTTTGGCGATATATGTGCGGCAAGCAGTTTTATATATATTTTTTAGCGTTATGCAGAACTTGCTTCTTGATCATTTTGTTTGTTTGTTTTCGAAGAAAAAAATTTAAAACTTTTTAATAGTCGTTTCGGATAACGTTCTTTGATCGATATATAAAGAAAAATCGGATAACATGGAACAATTTTAATTGATAAAAAGAAGTAAGCTTTTGCCTCGATTAGTTCGAAAAATTATTTCGCTAGTATTTTCACAGAGAGCTATTTACTTCGTATCATCATTCCAAACCACCAATATCCACAATTCCAATCTAGAATTATGCTTTTAGCACGTAAATAAAATACAAAATATACTTTTTTCTTATAGGTAAAAAACAGAAAGAGAAAAATGAAACAAACGAATTCACATTTATATCATATCTCATATATATATATATATATACATTGGGTCAAGTTATCTAAAAATTGATCATTCAATTCTAATCGAGGCAGTTTGTATTAGTATAATAGAATAAAGCTGCGTTTATCTATGTACTATACAAGGTATGGTCTATTCATAGATATAAGAAAGTGACCAATTGCTTTTGAATAGGATTATCCAAGGGTGGTCATTAACATACAATGCAAAAAGATTATTACCTAAAGTTTCGGAATTTAAATTCAAGTAAAATTGTGGTCCGTAATAGAAAATAATTTTATACCTACTTGTGTTTAATATTCTTTGGTTTGGTATACTACTTAGTTTAAGTTTATTAGTAATCATTCTTATTTCATGTGTAATACAGCGTGTGTTGAATCGTGTGCGAATGCGTATCTCAGGAGATGCTCCCGCCCAAATGTAGAAAACACTATTCTATTGAGACTAAGGAAGTTATAAACAATGTTTATTTGACTCTCATTGAACTACCTTATGGAAGTGTATTCAACACATGGGTTTTAGATTTAAAAAATTGACAAAAGGCAAGTTTTAATGGAATCTTTTAGAATTCGGAAATGGCGACTGGAATATCTAGACAAAATTTGGAATTACAGAGAACAACAAAGGCCAATTATTTACTTAGATGAAACCTAGTTCGACACTTATGATACCCCTGATACAACTGATCAAAAAGAGGTAAAAGAATAACTATTTTGCATGCTGACTCTAAAGATGGTTGGAGTCCAAATGGACTTTCTATGTCTGCGAAAAATATTAAACATTCTTCTCTGGATTACCATGAAGACATCACCGCAAAAAATCTATACAGTTTTAAGGCTTCCACCTTACCACTGTATATTTAATCCCATTGAATATGTTTACCACCAACTGAAATCTGCCCTTCGTCGTAACAATGTTTTTCCCCCTGTTAACTCCAATGTCCTCACTTATTGAAACCGAAGTTTTTAACATCCCTCCAAAAAGTTGGGCAAATTCTGTTAAACATATAGAAAAAGCAGAACAATCGTATGTCTATATCTATATATATATTATATATATATATATATATATATATATATATATATATATATATATATATATATATATATATATATATATATATATATATATATATATATATATATATATATATATATACGCCCATATAGAACAGGTGATGATAGCGATAGTGATACTGATATATTATGTGAATAATTTTAAGTAATTTAAGTAGGTAAAAAAAAATTATTTTAGATTTAAACATAAATACATACATAAATAAATATTGTTTAGTATCTTTTCTAACAAAACCCCAAATAATTAAATTCTAATCAAAATACGGACCTGTTCGGCCATATTTCATTCTTACAGCTTGCCCGGGTCTTTCCTTAATTCGTATCACTTTCTATGAACGACTTTACTACCTAGAAAACCACCAAGAAAACATGTTATGTTCTACGGTTTTCAGAATATGATGTGTCGGGGTTAGGTCGTTATTTTTTAGTGAAATGGCACAAAACGCAAACGCAATGGCATATATTTTAGGTAGCTTTAGGTTAAGGCTTGTATTCACTTTGATTAGTCCAGGTGATTAGTGATTAGGAGAAAATAAATGTGGACAGCGACTGATTAGTGCAATTGATTAGTTCGCTGCGTAGTAAGGTGATTACAAGCGTGTTCCATTTTTTGCGAGTAGATTGAGAGTAGCCGCGTCCCACGCGCCCTCTCGACCCCCTCAGTCGCAGCTTGCTTGCCGCTAAACACGTCAGCACAAGGCACAGGCAGTTTTTACTGTTTACGTCAGACTCTCGTATTGTTGTGCAAAAAATGGCAAAATGGACCGAAGACATAATTCATAAATTTGTGCAGGAGTATGTAAAACATGAACGCCTTTAAAACTGTAAAGTCTCTAGTTACAAAATTAAGGGAGCCCGAAATGCGGCACTTACGTATAAGTGAAGCTATGAAAGTAGATGTATAGTGCCGATATAAGCAACAGAAACCGTACATAACCTCAATTTCCTAACCCCCCCGCAGCGGGGGCCCCCCGCGCGTGGCGTCCTAGTGTCCCCCCTGTCTACCAGAGTGCGCTCCGCCCCCCACCCAGCTTGTGTAGTGTCCTGTTTTGCCCCGGTTCCGCCCGTCGCTGCTAGATGTCGCGCGCTTGTGTAGCGTCCTGTTTTGCCCCGGTTCCGCCCGTCGCTGCTAGATGTCGCGCGCTCCGACCGTCGTAGGCCCCCCCGGTAGAGGGCGGTGACGGTGCGGCGCGGTGACGCGGTGGATCGGGAGGATAATTAAATAAACTTGAATTTTAATACATTTTATTTTATTTTATTTATAAAATTGGTCTGGCGAGGAGTTTCTTCTTCTTTTTATGTCGATTCAGTCGACCATCCCATTGTTCCTGTTCCTTGCGTTGTTCTTCTTCCCGTTCCCGGAGGAAATCTAAATACGAAGTGCACTCCTCGCCGTCCCACTCCGTCGACCACCCACCCGGGTACTCCTGCTGCTCCTTTGTTTCTTTTGATCCACCGGGTTGCTCCTGCTGCTGGTGATGTTCCCTTGTCGTTTCATGTCGTACCGGGAATTCTAACCCCCGGTACTCTTTGTGTGATTTGAATATGTGACGCCCTAAGCGATGCGCCAACATAATATGCGACTTGTCATACGGACAAACCGCGATTTTTTCTAGAACAAAACAAAGTATGATATGTAGCGTTTCCTATAAAACACACATTTTTTTTTTTTTAAACAAAACTTCCAAAAAGGGGGGTTATCAAATAATTTTAAAAATTGTTTTTTAAGTTATACGCGCATACCAAAATTCACGTTTCAATTCACTGTCATTTAAATGTACGTGTATTATTGTCAAAAGGGCAAACTGTAATTTTTTAGTACAAAAAATAAACAAAAATATGTATATATTTCGCGTTTTCCCCATAAAACGCACATTTTTGAAACAAAACTTTCAGTAAGTGGGGGGTCATCAAATAATTTTTAAAAAATTGTTTATTTTTTAAAAGCCAAAATTCCCTATTCACTGTCATTTAAAAGATATTAAAAACGCTCAATTTAATTCGATTATTATTGTCAAAAAGGCAAACTGCAATTTTTTAGTACAAAAAATAAAACATATTTCGCGTTTTCCCCATAAAACGCACATTTTTGAAACAAATTTAAAAATTGTTTATTTTTTAAAAGCCAAAATTCCCTTTTCCATTCACTGTCATTTAAAAGCTATTAAAAACACTCAATTTAAATCGGTTATTATGCAACGTAAAAAAGATGAGTATCATATTTTAAAAACAGGTAGAAACTAACCAAAAAAGTGATAACCCAAACTGAAACCCACAAGAAAAGACGCGCACTGTATAAAGGTAATTAAAATATAAAACTTACCAGTTGTAGGGTCGTAGGGAAATGGACATCGCACTTCTGTATTCATTGCACTGAATATAGTCTATAATACACATGCAACGTATTTATACACATGCACTCCCTTCCATGGTTGAATTAAAAGTCGAAAAGGTCTTCTACCCACAAGCACCAACGCCGATTTGAATAGACGCGATGTTGTCGCCAGACAACCGTGCAGGTAGGAGTCTCAAGGTCAACACGCTTTCACACGGGAACGCAACCGCTTCGGACGTTGGACGAACGTATGTTGCCGCAAAAGATCAAGGCCAACTTGCTTTCATTTTTTACAATCTCCGTATGGGATGTGGAATTTCATAACGCGCCGAGTCTAAATGTCGAGTTGTTTTGCTTGTTGAGAATAATAATTAATTGCCCCCTTTATATTTGCTCCGTGGGATTAACGTAATGGGAAAAATTTGTTGCAACGCATGTGGAGGTGTCTTCGTTTGTTAACTTTTAGAAAGTATTCTCGCACCGTATAAATACATCTCATTTTTCTCTGTTTTGTCAGTAGTTGTTTTTGGTATTATTCGTGCAACGTGGAAGCTAACTTAGTGGTTTGGTGTTCGTACAAAAAAGCAGTAAGTACCTTTTTTATTGTTTTATTTTAATTCTTTAACATTTGTTATTATTTTATAAAGGTCCTAAAGATCATCTTAGTACTCTCAACCCGTAACCGCAAATAGAATAGCAGCAATCTTAAGCGTAAGTTTTTTTTATTTTTTTTATTTTGAGATAAAATAATTAATAATAATTTATAGATGGACTTAAGTCAACTGAATCAAACCTGTCTTGCAGAAGGTGATTTTGAGCAGCCGATTGTCAAACTGCATGAATTGCCGATAGGCGTTCCGTTTAAAATTACTAGAGCCAAAATTGTTAATACAAAATTTGGCAATTCCGTGTTGCTGCAATTAGAAAATTCCGTAGTATTTCTTCCTACTCGCGTGACAGAAGCTTTCCGTCCGAGACTAGAACACTTTGCATCGGGGCAGTACAAACTGGTCTACGAGGGATCCAAAGATATTGGAAAGCCCAACTCTTTAAAGAAATTCAAAATAATTCAAAATTAATCAACATATTATACAGGGTAAGTCTTATTTACTGTTATATATTTAATAAACCACGATGCGCGTAAAGCAGATCATTCATAGAGCGCAAATCTTAATTTTAACCTTACAAAAATTAAAAAAGCATATTTCCGACAAGTTCACTCTTAGAGATAGTGATGTGTGGCTTAGGAGACTAAATAAAAATATTGAATCTTGCAACCAAATCGTTTCTAACGAAAAGGATTTATCTATTGGGTTAAAAAGAAAATTACAAACTACAATTCAACATCTGAAAGCTATTAGAAAAATTATTCTTAATTATCAACATAAGCATTTTGGATTGGGATTACAAAGTAGTAGCCGCGAGACAAACACAAATGAAATGGTTGTATGGGAATCGGTAGCGTCGTGTTTCCAGGGAAGAGTTCAGACTGGTGTCATAATTAATTTACTTCATAAAGATTTAATTCAATTTTTAAACGATTGTCGTCCAATATTTCAACAAAAAATTAGTCAAATTTTAAAGAAATTTTTATTGCTGAAAGTAAATACCACATTTTGCGGTGAATTTATTAAGGCAAAAAATGATGTCCAAGGCGAAGTTGATGTTAAATATCTGAGTACCGGAAATGCTGTAGTTGATTTAGGAACAGAATTGAATGATTGGTTTGTTGAAAATGTCCAAGATAAAATTTTAAATCAAATGTCAGAGTTTCAGGAACGTGATTCCGGGTGGGCTTTAAATAATATTATTTATTTAGAGATTAACATTAATAAATTTGAAATGGGTAACGGGTCATCCTTCGTTGAGTTGCCTAAAGAAATTGCGAATAAAAGGGCTTGTATTAACATTAGAAATGACGATCAAGCGTGTTTTTATTGGTCAGTTGTATGCGGACTCTTTCCAGCACGTTTTCGTCAGTATTTACCCTCTTCATATCCATACTACAAAAGTGTTTTGAAAACTGAAAATTTACAAACACCTATGGAAATGAATAAAATAAGCAAATTTGAAAAAGACAATGATATTTCCATCAATGTTTATATCTTAGAGCTTAATAAAAATGAAAAAACTAGTTTTTATTCCGTGTTACCTGCACGATTAACAAAAGAAAAACGCGAAAAACATTCAAATTTGTTGTTAATACAAAATAAATATTATCCAAAAGTTAATGATTTTGATCCTGATCCGCAAGATAATGATTATGAAGAAATAAAATATCACTATTGTTACATTAAAAATTTGTCTCGATTAGTTTCCTCACAGCTCAGTAAATATAATCACAAGAAATACATTTGCGATAGGTGTTTGAATTATTTCAATAACGAAACTCGTCTACATGACCACGAAACAATATGTTCCAGTTTCAATGAGTATAAAGTGTCTTTTCCCAAATATGATTACGTTGAATTTCGAAACCATATATATAAACAAAGGACTCCGTTTGTAATTTACGCCGATTTTGAGAGTCAATTGAGAAAAGTAAATTTGAAAATTTCAGATAAAACCTCGAAATACCAAAAGCACGAAGCTTACAGTGCTGCATATTACTTTAAATGTTCTTATGATGATTCAATATCATTTTTCAAAAGTTATCGTGGTCTAGATTGTATTGATTGGTTCGTGGAGGAAATATCTAATTTATCAAAATTTGTTCGTTCAAAATTTAAGGATATTATACCAATGGATAGTGAAATTAGTCTAGATCAAAGGTCGAGTCATTGTCATATTTGTGAAAAACCTTTTTTAAAAGAAGATGTTATTGTTCGTGACCATGATCATTTTACTGGTAAATTTAGAGGTTTTGCCCATCAGGCTTGTAATTTAAATTTTAAAAAAATATTTGTAGTGCCCGTAGTATTCCAGAACCTTTCTGGATACGATAGCCACTTCCTGCTTCCGGTTTTAGCAAAAAAAAGCTATGTATCCATAGTTCCGGTTAATAAGGAAAAATACATCTCTTTTACATATTTCGAACCTGATTATAACATAAAATTTAGATTTATAGATTCGTTTAGATTTTTGGGAGCATCTCTGGATAATTTAGTTTCCAGTATGGATAAAAATGAACTATATATTTTAAGAAAAGAATTTTCCGATCTCGACGAATCAAAATTAAATTTACTGTCGCAAAAAGGTATTTTTTGTTACGATTACATCGACCATATAGACAAATTAAATGAAACAACTTTACCCCCGATTGAAGAATTCTATAATAAATTAAGTGAAAGCAATATTAGTGAAGAAAAATATTCCCACGCACAAAGTGTTTGGCAGTCGTTTGAAATAAAAAATTTAGGCGAGTATTCAGATTTGTATTTAAAAACCGACGTTATTCTTCTGGCAGATATATTCGAAAATTTTCGAAAAACTTGTATGGCAACACACGTTTTGGATCCGGCGTGGTATTTCAGTATGCCCGGGTATACATGGGATTGCATGCTTAGATTCACAAAATGTCGTTTAGAACTTTTGCGCGACATTGACCAAATTATGTTTATCGAGCGGGCTATACGAGGTGGAATTTCGGTGTGTGTTGGTAGATATGCGGAGGCCAACAATAAATATATGCCCAACTACGATTCATCCAGGGATGATTCCTATATCATGTACTTTGACGTCAATAACCTCTATGGCAAGGCCATGTGCGAGCCTCTTCCTTACGGAGGATTCGACTGGATGTCTCATCAAGAGATTGATTCATTTAATGTCATGAACATTCCAGATGAATCTTCCCAAGGATATATCCTAGAGGTAGACCTGGAATACCCGCAGAAATTACATGACACACATAGAGATTTTCCATTTTGTGCCGAACATCGAGTGCCCCCCAATTCAAAGTTACCAAAACTAATGACTACTTTGTATAATAAAGAAAAATACGTCATACACTATCGCAATTTAAAACAGGCTCTCAAAAACGGTCTCGTACTAAAGAAAATTCACAAAATATTAAAATTTAACCAATCTCGTTGGTTGAAATGTTATATCGATCATAATAATAAATTAAGAACCCAAGCAAAGACAAAATTTGGTATAAATTTATACAAATTGTTTAATAATGCCGCTTACGGTAAAACAATGGAAAACATTCGCAAGCATCGTATTGTTAAATTTGTTAAAGCGTGGGATGGTCGCTACGGTGCGAAAAATTTAATTTCTAGTCCTAGATTTCACAGTAGAACCATACTTGATAACAATTTGTTGCTTATAGAATTAAAAAAATCGGAACTTTGCTTTAATAAGCCACTTTATATTGGAATGTCCATATTGGATTTGTCGAAAACGACCATGTACGAGTTTCATTATAATTACATGCTTCCAAATTTGGGTCCCGAAAAATGTAAAATTCAATACATGGATACGGACAGTTTCATTTATAATATCAAATGTTATGACGCATATGAAAGCGTTATTAAGGCCGATTTAACAAAATTTGACACGTCTGATTATCCTAATGACAATCCCTATAATATACCGCAAATCAACAAAAAGGTTTTGGGGTTGATGAAGGATGAGACTAATGGCACCATCATTAGTCATTATGCGGGGTTAAGGTCGAAAATGTATACTTTCAAAATTTTAACGGGTTCGGTAGTTAAAAAGTCAAAGGGTATTCAGTACAATATTGTAAAAAATAAAATTTCATTTGATGACTACGTAGAATGCTTAACAAATTTTAGGGAAAAGTACGCCACTCAACGAACCATTCGTTCATACACTCACAATGTATTTAGCATCGAACAAACAAAAGTTGCCTTGAGTCCTTTAGACGATAAACGTTATCTTTTGCCGAATTCATATGAAACGCTTCCGTGGGGACATTATAAAGTGCCGTAATTATTTTTTAATATATTTTTGTTACAGATTATGGTCAAACAACTTACATTAGAAAGCCTTTGTATTATAACAATTTGCGAAAATATTAGGTGTAGTGCTGATTATTTTTCTTTTTAAATTTTTTAACTACTTGAAATATAAAGTGACAAGATTTACAAACTAAAATTTCCGAATATTTTATCCTGTAATAACTGACCCATAAACAGTAAGCGGATTCTCCGTCAAAATCAATGGTTGGAGTTGCCAAAATGCTATTTCTGTAAGACGATCCAAATCTCTTATTCAACAGAATGAATTCTAAATTTAATAAAGAATTGCCATCAGACTGGAGCGCTAATTGTTTAAGGTACTTCCATCTATATTTCGAATAATATTTAAATATTAGTATCGTTAGTTTCCAAGGCAAAGGTGACTCAAGCAAAAAATCAGCACTACACCTAATATTTTCGCAAATTGTTATAATACAAAGGCTTTCTAATGTAAGTTGTTTGACCATAATCTGTAACAAAAATATATTAAAAAATAATTACGGCACTTTATAATGTCCCCACGGAAGCGTTTCATATGAATTCGGCAAAAGATAACGTTTATCGTCTAAAGGACTCAAGGCAACTTTTGTTTGTTCGATGCTAAATACATTGTGAGTGTATGAACGAATGGTTCGTTGAGTGGCGTACTTTTCCCTAAAATTTGTTAAGCATTCTACGTAGTCATCAAATGAAATTTTATTTTTTACAATATTGTACTGAATACCCTTTGACTTTTTAACTACCGAACCCGTTAAAATTTTGAAAGTATACATTTTCGACCTTAACCCCGCATAATTGCGCTTTTTAATACAGACTTGCAAGTGGCGCGGATGCAAGCTCAAGAGTGCAAAAGAAAACTAGAACAATTTAATAATTTAGCATTTAACGAAATTGTAAAATAGTAATAATGTATATAATAAATAAATTATACAATTACAAACTTCTGTGTAATTATTATGCGGTGTTGTGGTGGTGGTAAAAAAGAAAATAGCGTCTAAATATATACATGTTTATTCTTGTTGCAATACAATGGAATACAATCAATACATAAAAGTCTTATCTACAGTTACATATGTTATAATAAAACCACAGTATTAATAGTTCAATGGACTATCAGAAAAGCGTAACTTTTTTCCATATTTCCTCTCATCGTGAAGCATTAAATTACATTCATCTTCAGTTTCTACAGTGAACAAAACTTCTTCAAAGCAGCTTTGACACCAAAATTGTTTATCGTGATATACATCATTCAAATTATTTATATCCAGCTGTAAATGATAGTGATCCAATAAAAGTCTAAAATTTTTCTTTTTAAATTTTTTAACTAGTTGAAATATAAAGTGACAAGATTTACAAACTAAAATTTCCGAATATTTTATCCTGTAATAACTGACCCATAAACAGTAAGCGGATTCTCCGTCAAAATCAATGGTTGGAGTTGAACACAAAACATAGAACGACGGGTACGAAACCCATCGATGTGAGTAAGAGCAACGAAAAGAGAATTTTGAAAACCGCGTATAGTAGCATAAAAATATTCGGTCCTCGTAAACTTAAAGTCGGCGACATCGTTAGAATCAGCAAAGTCAAGCACGTTTTCAACAAAGGTTATACACCGAATTGGACCACGGAATTGTTTAAAATTGTTAAAGTACGGGTTACTAACCCCGTAACGTATTTGCTTCAAGATATGCAGGGTAAACCCATAATGGGCGGATTTTATGAAGAAGAATTGCAGAAGACAGTTAACCCGGACTTATATCTCGTCGAAAAGGTGTTGCGCAGACGAGGCAATATGGTTCTCGTGCGCTGGTTGGGATTGGATAAGTCGCACGATTCGTGGGTAGACAACGTAGACGTTTTGAAATAAATTTAGTCTCGATTTAGAAGTTCTGACATAAATACGTGTATATGATGGCTCAAGAGAAAATTGTGACATCCAACGAATTGTATAATTTATTGGAAAATTTCGAGTTGCAATTTCCTTCATCAGAAGTGCTCCCGTCCAGCTTCGTTCCTGTAGAGCAACAAACCAAAAAATCTGCGACCAAACGAAAACAAAGTGCGTCGGTCGTATCCCGCAAGAAGAAGAAGAAAACTACCACAAGTGAAGCGTTTGCAGCTCCAACGTCATCCGCTGATTGGCTCGAAGTGTTCACGGACGGTAGAGAAAAAAGTGTCATTTGTGAGGCATTCAATTTAAAAAGAAACTTGGCGTCTCAGTTGTCGGGATTAGAGTGCAATATCAACGAAATTGAAACACAAATTGCGCTTTTTAATACAGACTTGCAAGTGGCGCGGATGCAAGCTCAAGAGTGCAAAAGAAAACTAGAACAATTTAATAATTTAGCATTTAACGAAATTGTAAAATAGTAATAATGTATATAATAAATAAATTATACAATTACAAACTTCTGTGTAATTATTATGCGGTGTTGTGGTGGTGGTAAAAAAGAAAATAGCGTCTAAATATATACATGTTTATTCTTGTTGCAATACAATGGAATACAATCAATACATAAAAGTCTTATCTACAGTTACATATGTTATAATAAAACCACAGTATTAATAGTTCAATGGACTATCAGAAAAGCGTAACTTTTTTCCATATTTCCTCTCATCGTGAAGCATTAAATTACATTCATCTTCAGTTTCTACAGTGAACAAAACTTCTTCAAAGCAGCTTTGACACCAAAATTGTTTATCGTGATATACATCATTCAAATTATTTATATCCAGCTGTAAATGATAGTGATCCAATAAAAGTCTAAAATTTTTCTTTTTAAATTTTTTAACTACTTGAAATATAAAGTGACAAGATTTACAAACTAAAATTTCCGAATATTTTATCCTGTAATAACTGACCCATAAACAGTAAGCGGATTCTCCGTCAAAATCAATGGTTGGAGTTGCCAAAATGCTATTTCTGTAAGACGATCCAAATGTCTTATTCAACAGAATGAATTCTAAATTTAATAAAGAATTACCATCAGACTGGAGCGCTAATTGTTTAAGGTACTTCCATCTATATTTCGAATAATATTTAAATATTAGTATCGTTAGTTTCCAAGGCAAAGGTGACTCAAGCAAAAAATCAGCACTACACCTAATATTTTCGCAAATTGTTATAATACAAAGGCTTTCTAATGTAAGTTGTTTGACCATAATCTGTAACAAAAATATATTAAAAAATAATTACGGCACTTTATAATGTCCCCACGGAAGCGTTTCATATGAATTCGGCAAAAGATAACGTTTATCGTCTAAAGGACTCAAGGCAACTTTTGTTTGTTCGATGCTAAATACATTGTGAGTGTATGAACGAATGGTTCGTTGAGTGGCGTACTTTTCCCTAAAATTTGTTAAGCATTCTACGTAGTCATCAAATGAAATTTTATTTTTTACAATATTGTACTGAATACCCTTTGACTTTTTAACTACCGAACCCGTTAAAATTTTGAAAGTATACATTTTCGACCTTAACCCCGCATAATGACTAATGATGGTGCCATTAGTCTCATCCTTCATCAACCCCAAAACCTTTTTGTTGATTTGCGGTATATTATAGGGATTGTCATTAGGATAATCAGACGTGTCAAATTTTGTTAAATCGGCCTTAATAACGCTTTCATATGCGTCATAACATTTGATATTATAAATGAAACTGTCCGTATCCATGTATTGAATTTTACATTTTTCGGGACCCAAATTTGGAAGCATGTAATTATAATGAAACTCGTACATGGTCGTTTTCGACAAATCCAATATGGACATTCCAATATAAAGTGGCTTATTAAAGCAAAGTTCCGATTTTTTTAATTCTATAAGCAACAAATTGTTATCAAGTATGGTTCTACTGTGAAATCTAGGACTAGAAATTAAATTTTTCGCACCGTAGCGACCATCCCACGCTTTAACAAATTTAACAATACGATGCTTGCGAATGTTTTCCATTGTTTTACCGTAAGCGGCATTATTAAACAATTTGTATAAATTTATACCAAATTTTGTCTTTGCTTGGGTTCTTAATTTATTATTATGATCGATATAACATTTCAACCAACGAGATTGGTTAAATTTTAATATTTTGTGAATTTTCTTTAGTACGAGACCGTTTTTGAGAGCCTGTTTTAAATTGCGATAGTGTATGACGTATTTTTCTTTATTATACAAAGTAGTCATTAGTTTTGGTAACTTTGAATTGGGGGGCACTCGATGTTCGGCACAAAATGGAAAATCTCTATGTGTGTCATGTAATTTCTGCGGGTATTCCAGGTCTACCTCTAGGATATATCCTTGGGAAGATTCATCTGGAATGTTCATGACATTAAATGAATCAATCTCTTGATGAGACATCCAGTCGAATCCTCCGTAAGGAAGAGGCTCGCACATGGCCTTGCCATAGAGGTTATTGACGTCAAAGTACATGATATAGGAATCATCCCTGGATGAATCGTAGTTGGGCATATATTTATTGTTGGCCTCCGCATATCTACCAACACACACCGAAATTCCACCTCGTATAGCCCGCTCGATAAACATAATTTGGTCAATGTCGCGCAAAAGTTCTAAACGACATTTTGTGAATCTAAGCATGCAATCCCATGTATACCCGGGCATACTGAAATACCACGCCGGATCCAAAACGTGTGTTGCCATACAAGTTTTTCGAAAATTTTCGAATATATCTGCCAGAAGAATAACGTCGGTTTTTAAATACAAATCTGAATACTCGCCTAAATTTTTTATTTCAAACGACTGCCAAACACTTTGTGCGTGGGAATATTTTTCTTCACTAATATTGCTTTCACTTAATTTATTATAGAATTCTTCAATCGGGGGTAAAGTTGTTTCATTTAATTTGTCTATATGGTCGATGTAATCGTAACAAAAAATACCTTTTTGCGACAGTAAATTTAATTTTGATTCGTCGAGATCGGAAAATTCTTTTCTTAAAATATATAGTTCATTTTTATCCATACTGGAAACTAAATTATCCAGAGATGCTCCCAAAAATCTAAACGAATCTATAAATCTAAATTTTATGTTATAATCAGGTTCGAAATATGTAAAAGAGATGTATTTTTCCTTATTAACCGGAACTATGGATACATAGCTTTTTTTTGCTAAAACCGGAAGCAGGAAGTGGCTATCGTATCCAGAAAGGTTCTGGAATACTACGGGCACTACAAATATTTTTTTAAAATTTAAATTACAAGCCTGATGGGCAAAACCTCTAAATTTACCAGTAAAATGATCATGGTCACGAACAATAACATCTTCTTTTAAAAAAGGTTTTTCACAAATATGACAATGACTCGACCTTTGATCTAGACTAATTTCACTATCCATTGGTATAATATCCTTAAATTTTGAACGAACAAATTTTGATAAATTAGATATTTCCTCCACGAACCAATCAATACAATCTAGACCACGATAACTTTTGAAAAATGATATTGAATCATCATAAGAACATTTAAAGTAATATGCAGCACTGTAAGCTTCGTGCTTTTGGTATTTCGAGGTTTTATCTGAAATTTTCAAATTTACTTTTCTCAATTGACTCTCAAAATCGGCGTAAATTACAAACGGAGTCCTTTGTTTATATATATGGTTTCGAAATTCAACGTAATCATATTTGGGAAAAGACACTTTATACTCATTGAAACTGGAACATATTGTTTCGTGGTCATGTAGACGAGTTTCGTTATTGAAATAATTCAAACACCTATCGCAAATGTATTTCTTGTGATTATATTTACTGAGCTGTGAGGAAACTAATCGAGACAAATTTTTAATGTAACAATAGTGATATTTTATTTCTTCATAATCATTATCTTGCGGATCAGGATCAAAATCATTAACTTTTGGATAATATTTATTTTGTATTAACAACAAATTTGAATGTTTTTCGCGTTTTTCTTTTGTTAATCGTGCAGGTAACACGGAATAAAAACTAGTTTTTTCATTTTTATTAAGCTCTAAGATATAAACATTGATGGAAATATCATTGTCTTTTTCAAATTTGCTTATTTTATTCATTTCCATAGGTGTTTGTAAATTTTCAGTTTTCAAAACACTTTTGTAGTATGGATATGAAGAGGGTAAATACTGACGAAAACGTGCTGGAAAGAGTCCGCATACAACTGACCAATAAAAACACGCTTGATCGTCATTTCTAATGTTAATACAAGCCCTTTTATTCGCAATTTCTTTAGGCAACTCAACGAAGGATGACCCGTTACCCATTTCAAATTTATTAATGTTAATCTCTAAATAAATAATATTATTTAAAGCCCACCCGGAATCACGTTCCTGAAACTCTGACATTTGATTTAAAATTTTATCTTGGACATTTTCAACAAACCAATCATTCAATTCTGTTCCTAAATCAACTACAGCATTTCCGGTACTCAGATATTTAACATCAACTTCGCCTTGGACATCATTTTTTGCCTTAATAAATTCACCGCAAAATGTGGTATTTACTTTCAGCAATAAAAATTTCTTTAAAATTTGACTAATTTTTTGTTGAAATATTGGACGACAATCGTTTAAAAATTGAATTAAATCTTTATGAAGTAAATTAATTATGACACCAGTCTGAACTCTTCCCTGGAAACACGACGCTACCGATTCCCATACAACCATTTCATTTGTGTTTGTCTCGCGGCTACTACTTTGTAATCCCAATCCAAAATGCTTATGTTGATAATTAAGAATAATTTTTCTAATAGCTTTCAGATGTTGAATTGTAGTTTGTAATTTTCTTTTTAACCCAATAGATAAATCCTTTTCGTTAGAAACGATTTGGTTGCAAGATTCAATATTTTTATTTAGTCTCCTAAGCCACACATCACTATCTCTAAGAGTGAACTTGTCGGAAATATGCTTTTTTAATTTTTGTAAGGTTAAAATTAAGATTTGCGCTCTATGAATGATCTGCTTTACGCGCATCGTGGTTTATTAAATATATAACAGTAAATAAGACTTACCCTGTATAATATGTTGATTAATTTTGAATTATTTTGAATTTCTTTAAAGAGTTGGGCTTTCCAATATCTTTGGATCCCTCGTAGACCAGTTTGTACTGCCCCGACGCAAAGTGTTCTAGTCTCGGACGGAAAGCTTCTGTCACGCGAGTAGGAAGAAATACTACGGAATTTTCTAATTGCAGCAACACGGAATTGCCAAATTTTGTATTAACAATTTTGGCTCTAGTAATTTTAAACGGAACGCCTATCGGCAATTCATGCAGTTTGACAATCGGCTGCTCAAAATCACCTTCTGCAAGACAGGTTTGATTCAGTTGACTTAAGTCCATCTATAAATTATTATTAATTATTTTATCTCAAAATAAAAAAAATAAAAAAAACTTACGCTTAAGATTGCTGCTATTCTATTTGCGGTTACGGGTTGAGAGTACTAAGATGATCTTTAGGACCTTTATAAAATAATAACAAATGTTAAAGAATTAAAATAAAACAATAAAAAAGGTACTTACTGCTTTTTTGTACGAACACCAAACCACTAAGTTAGCTTCCACGTTGCACGAATAATACCAAAAACAACTACTGACAAAACAGAGAAAAATGAGATGTATTTATACGGTGCGAGAATACTTTCTAAAAGTTAACAAACGAAGACACCTCCACATGCGTTGCAACAAATTTTTCCCATTACGTTAATCCCACGGAGCAAATATAAAGGGGGCAATTAATTATTATTCTCAACAAGCAAAACAACTCGACATTTAGACTCGGCGCGTTATGAAATTCCACATCCCATACGGAGATTGTAAAAAATGAAAGCAAGTTGGCCTTGATCTTTTGCGGCAACATACGTTCGTCCAACGTCCGAAGCGGTTGCGTTCCCGTGTGAAAGCGTGTTGACCTTGAGACTCCTACCTGCACGGTTGTCTGGCGACAACATCGCGTCTATTCAAATCGGCGTTGGTGCTTGTGGGTAGAAGACCTTTTCGACTTTTAATTCAACCATGGAAGGGAGTGCATGTGTATAAATACGTTGCATGTGTATTATAGACTATATTCAGTGCAATGAATACAGAAGTGCGATGTCCATTTCCCTACGACCCTACAACTGGTAAGTTTTATATTTTAATTACCTTTATACAGTGCGCGTCTTTTCTTGTGGGTTTCAGTTTGGGTTATCACTTTTTTGGTTAGTTTCTACCTGTTTTTAAAATATGATACTCATCTTTTTTACGTTGCATAATAACCGATTTAAATTGAGTGTTTTTAATAGCTTTTAAATGACAGTGAATGGAAAAGGGAATTTTGGCTTTTAAAAAATAAACAATTTTTAAATTTGTTTCAAAAATGTGCGTTTTATGGGGAAAACGCGAAATATGTTTTATTTTTTGTACTAAAAAATTGCAGTTTGCCTTTTTGACAATAATAATCGAATTAAATTGAGCGTTTTTAATATCTTTTAAATGACAGTGAATAGGGAATTTTGGCTTTTAAAAAATAAACAATTTTTTAAAAATTATTTGATGACCCCCACTTACTGAAAGTTTTGTTTCAAAAATGTGCGTTTTATGGGGAAAACGCGAAATATATACATATTTTTGTTTATTTTTTGTACTAAAAAATTACAGTTTGCCCTTTTGACAATAATACACGTACATTTAAATGACAGTGAATTGAAACGTGAATTTTGGTATGCGCGTATAACTTAAAAAACAATTTTTAAAATTATTTGATAACCCCCCTTTTTGGAAGTTTTGTTTAAAAAAAAAAATGTGTGTTTTATAGGAAACGCTACATATCATACTTTGTTTTGTTCTAGAAAAAATCGCGGTTTGTCCGTATGACAAGTCGCATATTATGTTGGCGCATCGCTTAGGGCGTCACATATTCAAATCACACAAAGAGTACCGGGGGTTAGAATTCCCGGTACGACATGAAACGACAAGGGAACATCACCAGCAGCAGGAGCAACCCGGTGGATCAAAAGAAGAGCAGCAGGAGTACCCGGGTGGGTGGTCGACGGAGTGGGACGGCGAGGAGTGCACTTCGTATTTAGATTTCCTCCGGGAACGGGAAGAAGAACAACGCAAGGAACAGGAACAATGGGATGGTCGACTGAATCGACATAAAAAGAAGAAGAAACTCCTCGCCAGACCAATTTTATAAATAAAATAAAATAAAATGTATTAAAATTCAAGTTTATTTAATTATCCTCCCGATCCACCGCGTCACCGCGCCGCACCGTCACCGCCCTCTACCGGGGGGGCCTACGACGGTCGGAGCGCGCGACATCTAGCAGCGACGGGCGGAACCGGGGCAAAACAGGACGCTACACAAGCGCGCGACATCTAGCAGCGACGGGCGGAACCGGGGCAAAACAGGACACTACACAAGCTGGGTGGGGGGCGGAGCGCACTCTGGTAGACAGGGGGGACACTAGGACGCCACGCGCGGGGGGCCCCCGCTGCGGGGGGGTTAGGAAATTGAGGTTATGTACGGTTTCTGTTGCTTATATCGGCACTATACATCTACTTATGAACATACCGGGATTTGGAAGTAAAGAAGTTTATACTAAAGTAAGAAACTTGAAGTCAACATATTCGCGAAAGGCTAGGAAAATTAAACAGAGTACAAAATCTGGAACTGGAACGGATGACGTACATAAACCACAAATAAGGTGATTCAAATTATTAGACGATGCTTTAAAAGCTATAAATGTACCGTGCAGCGACACAGGAAATATTTGGTAAGTAAAAGACATATGTTATTTTTTTATATTCTTTATTACATGACGACACAACACAACTGCAAAACTACGTTTTAATTCAATTTATCATTCGAGACTGCCAAGAGACTGCGCCTACTCCTACAAAATAAGCTGCTAAATCGTTGGGTATGGTTTGTGCAATTTGAGATGATCTATTCTGCATTCTCATAGTAAGTGGCAAGTCCATCTGGTGGCACTTGTCTCCAGGATCCTTCAATGACATTTCCATTCCGTGTCCTCTATATCAACGGTGGCGACATGTACGCGTACTTTGTTTTTTCTCGTCCAGTTATGCATGGCGCAACATGCTTTTAGGATTTTATGCATTTTGTTGGGAAAAAAAGGGTAGCGGCCTTTCGAAAATTCTGTATCGACTTACTAAGATGCCAAAAGCATTTTCGACAATTCGTCTTGCCCTTGATAATCTATAATTGATTTTTTTTTGTTTAAATGTGAATTGGTTTCCACTGTATGGTTTCATCATATATGGTTTTAGAGCAAACGAATTATCGCCCACTAGAACATGATCTTCGGGCAGTAAATTATTTTCCAAAGCATGACTAAGATCACAATGGGAGAAAATTCCAGCATCCGATACACGTCCATTATATCCATCAATATATGTACTTGTAGTAACGACTTCCTGCGTTTGGTCGAGCTTTGGTGGTAACGTGTTCCCCATCTATAGCACCTGAGCAACCAGGGAAATTCCAGGAATTTCGGAAGCTTTTTTCAATCCTTTTCCATTCGTCTCCGTTAGCTACCTAAAACAAAACAAAAAACATGAAATACTTCATGGCGAGGAACATTCCACATCCCAACACTGTCTGCTGAAAAACATTACCCTGATGCAACACCTGAATCTCAACGTAATCAAGATAAAGAAGAACAATGAAAATCTCTAGTTTCTCGTAAAAGGACAGTACGGAACCTCAATAATTTGGTCAATAAAGTGAAGAACGTCGTCGACTCAATTAGCACACGCATATCAACAGAAACAGAAACAGAGTTTGATATATTCGGGAAAAATGTAGCCGCCCTGTTTATCCAAAATTATCTTTGTAATTTACTGCAACAAATGGTCCACGGAACATTCAACCAAGCATACATCCCGTCCCGTCTATGTACCAGTCTTACACACTATCACCACAACACTCTCCTTACACACAACCCCCACGACACTCTCTTTACACACAACCACCACAACACTCTCTTTACACACAATAATCGCAAGGCTGTCATTACACAAAACTACCACAATCTTCTACAACAGATGCTACTGATAACATTTCTCTTGCTGACCAACCTTTCCACCTACCACAGACAAATAATGACAATACAATGACTATGTACTCTGAAAACAATGAATCTCAAACTGCAACTGTAGTAATACAAGATGACATATTGGCTAAGGCAGTATCGAGTATTTACTAACAAGTTTATTGCAAATATGTTGAATTTGAAAATAAACCTACTTTAATAAAAACATGTTTTTAATGTTACTCACCTTTATGTAATCTCCCAGTGCCTTGTAAATAGCATCGCATACTTCGGACATGTTACAAGTTGTCGATCATGGTACCTTGAATAGGTGTTGCAAGACTAGTAAACTAACTTCGTTAGCCAATAAGTATATAATAGCGAGCAATTTCACTTTAGCCGGCAAAGCAGGTCTCATATATGTATCGGACTCTTTAGTCAACCTGAGAGTAAATTAATATTCTGTCGTATCTTCAGCAGCTAATTCCTTGAAGAGTTGGTAGCTTGCGCTATGAATAGGTCTTCTATAAATCCATTGGCGAACTCATGGTTTTCTCGGTGTTGCAAGTTCAGTTTCCAAAAGTTCTTCCGTTTCGTTCAGTTATTAAACTAATTTCTAAATTGAATATCTATATATAATTTAAAATGTAACTCTATCGCCTAATGAAATTCATCACACGGTTTCCGCCGAACCCATAGTACGTATAATAATGTGGGATATATTATGAGCAGCGACAAACGTGTAAACCAGATATGTTACGGGCGCATAAAAATATGATTTACAACCGCGGCTCTCTCTAGACTCTACACCGGTATATCTCTTCCTGCAGTTTTTCGGGAAGAGCTGTCAAAGTTACGATAATAAATTCGAAACGACAAGAAGCAGAAATGTATGTTATTTTAAACATTCTGTCAACTGCACAGTCAGATATGTTAAATCAAATGGACTGGAGCCAGTAAAAATAACACGCGTTGCGATCAATCGCCGATGTGCAAATGATTGCTGCGATCTTGCCTGGTGGTATGCACGCTAGTAGCCTTCCGGCAAATAACTGGCTAATTCTAAATAATTACTAAGTCCGATTATGCTTGATATCTACTTTAATTTAATACGAAACGCGACATTGTCGTCCTTATAAACTGTTAGACACGAGTGAGCAAAAATTGTGTATTATAGGGGGTGTACAACTTAAGAACTGTACACCCTTGTAAAATCTTTGTTTATGGTTCGATTTTGATCATTTTTATTTGTTGGACAGATCTCTTAAAAACGCACTAAAACTTTATGTTTCTTAGAACATCATGCCTAACTGGGACTAATGTCAAATATAGAGAAGGGCTATTAGAGATTTCTTTAAGAATAAAATTGAGGCCCAAACAAACATTCCTAAAAAAAAAATCTTAAAATTTGACATCAAAAATTAGTTCCAGTTAGCCATGACTTCAGGTTGATGTAATAAGAAACATAAAAAACATTATCAAACATATTTCAAACACCTTGTATTAAAACATTATAAAAATTTGTATAGTTGGGTTCTAACTTTCGTTATTAATTTATTTCTCTTTCTCTCTCGTTAAATAGCCTCAGTTGGCCAACACTTTAAGATGAAGCAATAAGCAGAACAACGAAACAAAAAATTATCAAAATCGAACCATAAACAAAATTTTTACAAGAGTGTACAGTTCTTAAGTGGGATACACTGTATATAGAGAAACGTAACTAACACAAATTGAAAGCTAAAAAGATATAATTTTTCACATACAGGGTGGTAAAGCAGATATTTGCAGTTATATTTTGTTTTGTTTGTTATTTTACAGGATACACATTTTTATAAAGTTTTTCTGCGGGTGATCACGAAAAAACGAGATAGGCAATATCATATACGCAGAATTTTATTGCTTATAGAGTTAGAACAGATGCTCTTAATAATATTCTCAACTAGCTGCGGCCCACTGCAAACCGTTCAACAGTAATGGCCGCAGTAGAGACTGCAACTTGCGTTTGGTTAGTTTGGTCCAGTTTCGCGGATTTAAACATTTCTTCAATCAGAAAAATTGTAATTTCGCACTTGTATTATACTGAGATCCTCAGTAGAGGCGCATTTCTTGCTGTACAGGCACTTGTTGGTATCTCAAAATTTCAGTTGGAAATTCAGATTCCAGACTTCAAGTAGGATTTGACAGAATTTGTTGAATATTTCTCGTTAAATAGTGTGTTCCGTTTCCAATGGGAATACCTTTATTGAGACCTCCAACCCACTTATACAAAAACATTTTTTTTTGCGTACTTTTTTTCAGCAAATTATTAAAGAGATTATGAATATTCGTAATTTTTGTTTGACGTTGACATCCGTGTCTTTGGTATCTGTTTACAACGCTAATAAGGCTGCGGCCTGGTATCTGGTACCTTGTGGATAGAGGGTTACAAGTACTATAGTGCCGAACTGACATGAACTGGATAATATTGGAAAAAATAATAGACATCATTCTATATATACTATACAGTGGGATCCAATATTGCGTTGACACTGAATTATGACTTATAGTTTTTGGATATTAGAAGCTTTTAAAATCCGAAATAATAATCAAGGTGCGATCGCATGATACAAGTTGCCAGAATTGCGACTTTTTGCAGCTCCGATGCGGCTTGCGGCGTTCCCCTGGTGCTCTCGGTTGCAGGGTAACCGAAGCCCATGTGTTCAGTTCCTCGTTTGCGGGCTGCAAGGTGTCTTCAATTAAAGAAAAGTTTAAGTTTTTAATAGAAGATTATCGCAAAAAACGAAGATTTTCGTGATGCATCAGGAACAAAAGCTATAGGAAGTTGCCAATAATCTTGGAGAATTTACACCAGAGTTATTAATCCAAGATGATATCAGATTAAGGAGGTAATCCCGTTTATCCATACGTGTGAAATTTTTGACTAGAATTTCGCCATAATTTTCTTCTGTCTTCAATTAAAGAAAAGTTTAAGTTTTTAATAGAAGATTATCGCAAACAACGAAGATTTTCGTGATGCATCAGGAACAAAAGCTATAGGAAGTTGCCAATAATCTTGGAGAATTTACACCAGAGTTATTAATCCAAGATGATATCAGATTAAGGAGGTAATCCCGTTTATCCATACGTGTGAAATTTTTGA